GGACCCTGGTCTCCATGCTGAGGAGGACTGAGTCTGTCAGCAGAGATGAAGCCCGAAGGAACCAAAGATGGACTGACCTTAGTTTCATTGAGTTCCTGCTGTGGAACCTGATTTTTTACAGTCAGAACTGAACCTGGTCGTCTGTAAACTGACATCAGGGACAGTAGAAGTAATCTGATTACTGTGAGGTCGTACAGTTAAGGGCTGTAGCGCACGTCTGTTTTTTTTGTAGTTTATCTGCACATGAAAACTTTAAAATCAGTGGTGTTGAGTTTCTCCTGGTGCAGAACCAGGAGGTCCAGAAGGAGCCACAGCAGCACTAATCAGTGGTCGCTGGTGCAGAAACACAAACCATTAGAGGTTACAGGCGATCGCTGGTGATTCTAAATCTAGTTTTACGGGGACGAGGAGGCAGCGAGGGAGGTGAGGTTAGATGTGAGACGAGGTGACGGAGGTGAAGCCTTACGAAGCCTCTCCTCAGAATACTGAAGGGGATGGTTCTCTTTACTATATGAGTCTCCCAAACCCTCCTGCCCCAGTCCTCCACAAACACCGAGGCCTCGCGCCTGCAGCCGTCCGGACCCTGCAGCGACAGCAACAAGCCCACGGCTCGGGTTTATTCACAGGCACAGACAGAGAACAGCAACAGGAGGCTGGAGGGGGAGGCCAGGTGAGACTGCACCTCCGTTGCCTGCCTCTCTAAACCCTGAGCTCTGACTGCAGGTACAGGAAACAGGTCTGGATGGTGCAACACGACCAAAGTGGCCAAAGCTACAGCTATAACCAGTCAGCTCTTGGTTGGGTTTGGGAACATTAACATGGTACAAAAATACACCATTAAACAGTTTTACACAAACTATATAAACAACAGTCCACTGTGGTTCGCAGATTGAGTCAAATCCCTTTAAACCTCTTTCTGTGGCGCCCCCTGCTGTGTGGGCACCTACAGTTTGTTTCCATCTATCCTCCACCCCCCCCCACTTCTATTCTTATTATAATGTTAAATGGACATGAACACTTTAAACTTTAACCTCAAATCTGGTTCACTGCTGGACAGGAAGTGAGGTTTTGGTTGGTTCCTTATGGTTCTCAGTGTTGTTAAGGCTGGGTTGGTGCGTCGCTGTGACCACGTCCGTGACTCACCAGTATCTGGACGGTCAGCAGTCCTTCTCCAGCATCTCTGGCGTCGATGGTGAACTCGACCGGCAGACTGGCCGGAACTCCAGAAGCGTTCAGACCCGGACCGCTGGCTCGAACTTTACTGGCATCGTGAGCCGGCAACGTCTTGATCTTGAAAGGACTGAGAGGAGACGGTTTGAGAGGTTAGCGCTCAGACACGAGGATCAGAAGAACTTCCTGGTTCTGTAATGTCTTCAGTACCGACCTGCGGGGAACCTCCTGGTCGGCGTACTTGACGCACACCGTGTACGGACCGTCGTTGGCAGGAGTGTAGTTGACCGTGTGAGTGCCGTCGCCGTTGTCAGTGACGCTGATGGGTTCGGCCACACCTGAAGACAAACCAGGTGTTTGGAATGTAAACAAAGTCCTGAAATAGGCTTTATGACAACATGCAAAGAGCAGTACCGGGTCCAGACATGAGCCTGGGTCATTCTGGTGCAACTCACCGTACGATCCTGACTATCTTCAACTTCACTGGTTTGTTTAAAGTGGTAAAACTGGGTTCAAAGGTAACACTGATGTTTGAGTTAAACATTTTTAAAGGAGTTTTTTTGTTGTTTTCTTTAACCAATCTGTGGATTATTGTTGGAAGTTCAATAACTTATTATGTAGAGTCAGGTTCATCGATACGTACATCTGGTCTTCAGTGGTCCTGCTTTGATAGAGCAACACAAACCAGTTGTGTCCATGTTTGAGTCTCAATATTCCATCAACCATAGAACTTTTATTGTTCACCCTAATAGCAGGTTGCTTTCTTTAAAAACCAAAAAAGAAGTCCAGCTGCCTCCTATTTCAGCACTTAAGGTTTGTACGAAATGCAACCCCAGAAGAAACCTACAGGAGTAAAAAGACCAATCAGCGGTGTGTTCTGGTCCTACCTGTTGGCCCGTAGAGTTGGACCTCCAGAGGAGCCACTCCAGCCTTGCTGCTGTCCACAGTGAAGGTCTGAGGAACATGAGCTCGGACTCCACTTCCAAGGCCTGGACCTGAACATCTCACCTTGCTGGGATCAACCAGCTCTCGCACCGGGACACGAAACGGACTCACTGCAAGACAAACAGGAATCAGTAAACCCTAAACCGAACCTAACCGTCCAGGGCAGAGATCTTAGCGGCATCTCCTACTTGGGATTGGTCGGCCTCCGAAGGTGATGTTGACGTCATATTCTCCAGGTGTGAAGGGGATGTACTCCACGCTGCAGCTGCCATCTTTGTTGTCCTTACACGACATCTTTGCCTCCGACGGTCCCTCGATTGCCAGACCAAGACCTCCAGTGCCAGCACCCCTGAGGATGAACCGGCCAGAGGGCGATTAAAAAGGAGGTTTCAGAGAGAACTTCAGGCTCAGTAGAACTAAACATTCCAGAGTGCTATACCTGGTCTCAACAGTGAAACGGTTTGATTTGTTCACGAGTCCTTCTTCTAGACCTGGACCGTAAGCTTGGACTCGAGTTGGATCACAACCCTCGATCACCGACACCTTGAACGGACTCTTCGGCACCGAGACCTCATCGAACGAAACCTCGATCAGATGCAAACCTGCAGACAGACGGACAGAGTTGTTCAGTAAGAGTTGAACATACAAAGAAATGTGTGTTCACGGCTTTATTTTCAAACCTGGATCCTTTATATCCCGTCTTTGGCAGCTAGTTAGCATCTGGCTCACTTGTCACACCAGCTTCAAGTAATTTTGGACAGTTATTGAGTCATTTTGTTCATTTTTTTTGCATAATTGTGGAAATTTTAGATAAGTTTCAAGACATTTTTGACAAGGTTTTGTCATTCTGAATTAATCTGAATTAATTTTGAGTAAGTTTAAAGGTTATTTCAAGCAATTTTTGAGTAATGTCAGACAATTTTTTTCAATTTTGGTCAATTTTTCAGTCATTCTGGACAACTGACCGTCCATATTGATGCCTGGAGACCACTTTGTAACGCTCCACATGCTGATCCATGATTACAGTTAGCGGCTAAGTTTCCAGCTAAGTAGGATTCATGGCAACAAACCAGCAGATAGTTATGCTAGTGATCAGATATGAAAATCATTTTTATCTAAAAGTTGCAGGAAGCTTGCGCTACTTGCCTCCCACTCTACTCTCTTTCCCAATATCTCTAAAAAGGAATTGAAGAATGCAGTTAGCATGACACTTAGCCACAACATACACACCAGTGAGAAATACAGCAGGTTGAATAATTAAAGAATCATCTTTTTAAGAAAACCTGAAGATGTGCTGTGTTATTGTATGTCCTGCCTTCCCTCTACACAGATGGTCATTACTTGTATAAAATCAGAATTCATGAATAATCTTGAGATTTCGGTTGTTGCACCACTTTATAGTTCTTAGTAAATGTCATTAAGAAAGACATTAGCATCAATGGCTAACTTGATGAAGCTCAAAGCACCACCTGAATAATTTGTTTTTGATTCATTCCCAACAACACCCTGATCTCTGATTGTTGTGTCCACTGAGCGTTCGACTCAAAGGAACCTGAACACTGAATGTTTCCTCCTGGTTTCTAACCCTGTTCTGGGTTTTGGACCAGCAACCCTTCATCCACGGGTGCTTCAGCGTGGAGGTGTTGGTGGTTTGAACCGGACACGACAGAAGAGATTCCAACAGAGAATCACTTTCCATTAAAATTCCAGTCTGAGCGAAGCCTCTGCAGGCCGAGTATTTCCGTCCCACAATGCACTGGGCTGCAGCATGTCACACATCACTATCAGTGGAAAACCATCTGCTGCCTGCAGACAGGCTGCAGCTATAAATACCGTCCGACCGTCCGTCCGTCTGCTGCCGCTCACCGGGAGGTTGGACTGCAGCCGTTCATTTACTGGTGAACGGCAGCATGTGACCAGTAAAATAACACACAATAAACACTATAAATACAACAGCTACGTCACGGTTTTACCTGTTTAACCATTTTAACCTGTTTAATCAGCGGATTTTGCGTGTTTCAATAATAAATTAGATTTATAAGATGTTCCTGAAAAAAGCAGTTTACCAGGTTGTAGATTTGTCTGGAGTGTTGACCGGACTTCTACCATGTAGTGTATTATAGCTACTATTAGCCTGTTAACACACTGTTAGCATCAAACAGTATATTTCAAGCTGTACGTTCGCATGCTAGGATAATAAGGTTTGTATGTTAACAAACATAAAAAACTAAAAAGTTATATGATAGCACGTTATCAAGTAATTAGGGAGTTTAAATGCCTACATTTAGAACATCCAGTTGTAAACCAGCTATCTTTGATCTAAAACACATTAACAGACTGAAAACCCTAAAAAATGCTGCTGCTGGCGGCTATTCTGAGTATTTAAAGCCAGTTTTTAGTTAAGTCCTGTTTTCCCTCATTAGAGGTCTGAACATAATGAACTCGTGGTCCAAGTTTAAACCACAGACATGTTTACTGCTGCAGAGGAACAGCAGAACTATTTATTCCACCATTATGATGCTCTGCAGCAGAACCATGAATCAGCTGATGAGCTGTGGTCTGTGGAGCTCACCGTCCTCGTAGGGCGTGTACTGCACCAGGTAGGTCCCGTCCTCCTTGTCGATGACGTAGGCGTCTGTGTTGGCGCCCGACGGGTTGGAGATGGCGGCGCTGACGTGGTTCCCGCCGCTCTTGTAGTGAGCTCGGGCGTCCACGATGAAGTGGGTTTTTACTTCCCTCAGGACGCCTGTGAAGGAGAAACACATAAAAACTTGCACAAAAAAGGAATTCTGTGTGTTTCTGTACCTTAAAACTTCAATGATTGTTCAGTCAGAGCGGTCGAAGAACGACACAAAACAAACAGCAAAGCTCAAAAATAAAAGAAGCGAAACACTCACAAAAAGACCATCAGAAGCAAAACTGTAACTGAGAAAAGACAAAACCGCTGCAAAAAGATACCAACGCGCAACAAATAGAAGCAAAAAGTCCACAAAGAGACAAAAAAAACATCACAGACAAACGCAAAAAGACACAAAAGCACCACAAAGA